GTTTAGTGCTGCCCCCTTTCCTCCTTGAGTTAACCCAGGTGGTATATGTGGTAATGACATTTACAAGATCACAGCAAAATTCATCCACTGATCCAGCATACCATCTGTGGATGTAGGCCTTGAAGTGCAATTTAAGATTATCTGGGATGTTAATTCTGAGCTTAGGATGTGGTTCACACTTGACATCTGCAACAGTGTAGTCAGTAAGTATTGCATAATGATCACTGACTAGGTGGTCTGAGATGACCTTAGCCTTGACATTACTGTCTACTAGGTTATACCCAATCACATAATCAAGTCTGCCCCCCATCAGATGTGTCACTTTGTCTGTGTCGTATACAGTGATATTATGATTATTGATGTAATTCACAAACACCCTCCCATTAGAGTTACACTGCACATCATCGAGGACAGTGACGAGAGTTAAAGTCACCCATACACAGCATAGCATTGTTACCTGATGGCTTTGGTAACACGTCCGCTCGCAGCTCATTACACCGAACATAGATGTTATACAGCGAAAATTGACTGTTTGCTGTCTTTACTGTAAATTGTTGATAGTGAATACTTTCATCTTTGTGAGTTTTAATCCATTTACAGACCAGATCATTATTTACATAAGTGAGCAGGCCACTTCCTGCTCCACTATTATATGCTGTAAACCCAGCTATCCTGGGTGCAACTTTCTTCTGGGTGCTGGACGTGTAAGGTTCTTGTAAACCAATTACATCAATGTTAAAAACTTTAACAAAACATTGTAGGTCATTAATTCTGCGGTTAACACTCCGGATGTTCCATGAAATGAACCTAAGCTCGTGTTACTTGTCCCACCTTGAATTTAGTAAAGATAGTCGCACGTTGGCTTCACAGATCAACCTGACCAATAAGTTGACCATTTCCAATTCTTCACCTCTGGTGCGCCTGATAATGCCCTTCACGGCCCTTATTCCAGTAAGATTTTTATACACAGGTTCCTTCATTAGTCCGGCGAGTTCCTCCAAGGTAAACATCGGAAAAAGTTGAGGGTCATCGACAGTCTTCAGACCTGTGGTTATTAAAAAGACCACGCTGGCAGTCTGGGGCTCATTCTCCCCATTCATGCTTTCATCACTATCGGTCTCGCTCTGGCTACTCACCCTCAAGTTGGCATCATTATGAGAGGAGGCACCAGCTCCTTCAGAAGGTACACTAACACTATCACTGCCATTGTTCATTGGTACACTTACTTGGCAGGCTTTATCCTGACCTGCATTAGCTAACGAAGGAGAGTCACTGTGCCTGTTGACTTCAGGTGGTGGAGGCGATCCGGCAGCGTTGGCATCACTGAGTGGGACCACTGTTATGGGTGGAGGCGACCTCCCAGGACAACTGGGGTGCGAGACCATCACACCCTCCTTCTTGCATCTGGAACACTGCCTCCTGGGTGGGGAGGTGTAGCTGTTGATTTCAGGCGCTGGAGGCGACCCCGCAGTGTTGCTATTGGCATCACTGAGTGGGACCGCTTTTGTGGGTGGAGGCAGCCTCCTAGGACAAGCTGGGTGCCAGACCGTCACACCCTCCTTCTTGCATCTGGCACACTGCCACCCAGGTAGGGGGTCTTGCTCTCTCCCCTCCCGAGAGGCACCTTCCTTGGTGGGGCAGCTCCTCGTGCTGTGCATTCCCGCGCAGAAGCCGCAGGTGGTTGCCTTGTGACAGTATTTTGTCACATGATTAACCCCGAAGCAGTTGTAGCACACCACAGGGGGAGGAGTCCACCGACTGATGTTACTAGGGGTACCGTACATGCTGCCGAAGAAGCGGTATTCCTCAGGAGGTGGTTCCTTCCTTTTCCAAACAATGATGATCCTACTAAGTTGGGCACCATCCTTATAAAGTCTTCTTGCTCTGTGGACGCCCTGAAGTGACAGAGCTCTACTGGGGGAATACCCTTGGGGAATTGGGTGACAAGGTATTCCTTCATTTTTTGGGGTCGAACAGGTACAGTCACCCAAAAAAATCCTGTCACGAACCATGAACCCCGAGATTCAGACTCTTGAATCCGAAGCATTTATGGACAGAATAATGTATCAGTGTCAACTGCTCGGGTTCACGAGTCTGGATCTTGGGGTTCGTGTTTCGCGACAGGACTCTTTTGGGTGACTGTGCTTCCCACTTAATGAGAAGTAGTGAGCCGACATTTCCATCAATGAAGCGTTGGATAGCATCCGTCTCCTCTCGGCCTACACAGATAAAATGAGGGGGGCTACCTGGCACGACAACATTCAGCGGAGTCGTGCAATACACCTTTTCACATATCCGTTGAGACATTGTTACATAACTATTTGACAAATTTCATAACCGAATGACAGAACGCATATCGAATGACAATCTAAAATAACTGTTGGTGGTATGTCATTCTCCAATTGTTACATTCTCAAACTATATGTAGACTGTCGGTTTATTGTTCACGGCTGTCAACTTCAAAACTTTTGTCAATCATTTCCGTTAGCATGAACGAACAGTTATTTCAGATTGTCATTCGATATGTGTTCTGTCATTCGGTTATGAAATTTGTCAAATAGTTATGTAACAATGTCTCAACGGATATGTGAAAAGGTGTATTCCTCATTCAGGGCGCTCAACCACTTAATCTTCATCAAATTGGTTGTGTTCTCGGGGAAGGCAAGGCGCATGAAGTTAGTCCGGGGAGCAATGGGAGGGATGCACCTATTGGCTCTCCTCTGCTTCCTTCCCTGGGTCCTCATTTTGCGTTTCTGCTGACGTGTCTTAAACTTCTGAAAGCCAGCTTCAGTGTCGCCATGACTGTCGTCATCTCCTTCGTTACCTTCGTCAGGAACATCGGCAGAACGCCGCCCAGCGTCGACTCCTGCCATGGTTAGATTTAGATGGAATCTAGGTCTTATACACTGGCGCAGAGAGGCGATATGTAGGCCAGCGGTGTCCTTGAGGCGTAAACCCTCTTACAGAACAAGGGGAGACTGGCATCAACGGTGTGAGAGGAGGCGGGCCTCCTGAGAGCGGAGGGAGTGTGGTGTCGGGGGGACTAAGGTAACAGGAGTATTCTCAGTTTATAAACACTTTTATTACACTACACTTGTTCTTAATAGTATCTCTGTTTTTCTGGTTAGATACAGTATCAGTCAATTTTAGTTTCAAAAGAACTATCCAGCGTGGCACCATATGAGGGGGGGTTTGTTTACACAAACCTTCACCACATGGCCGGGGGTGACCGCGGAAGTAGGCCTGCCTGGCTGGCACTTACACACCCACGCCACGACGCGTTAGTTCACTTGTTATACAGGCAACGTATTTGCAGTTGTTGACCTATCGGTTACGGTTAATTCTCCAAGTGATCTCAACCTTCCTGATTTACACATTACAATAATCTCCTCAGAAAACTCAAGGCGCTCTCCAGGTCGTAACCATCCCCCTCGACCCCGGGAGTCAAAAAAGGAAGATATTTCACATTACTATGAAATTCTCCTGGAGCTATATTGAAACTGTAAAAATCTCGTGCATCTGGAATTAAAAGTTATAATGGTCCTAACACGTACTGGCTGGCTCTCTCCCGGGTGTAGTAGATTCTTGAGGTTTGCAAGTGTTTATTTTTCCTCAAGCTGGCGGCCATAGGTGAGAACGCATTTATGACATTTAAACAACAACAAACTGTACACAGCGGCTAGTATAGTATAGACTGGTATAATGCTCAAGATTCATTTTCTTTTCATCAATTTGAAGGCATAGTCAACATACAGTGTAACCTCCATATAACGCACTTCCATCTTCATGTACTCTGGTTGATGGGGGAGTTTCACATCTAATGGACCCACTCGATATAGTGGACTTTGCTCTCCTCGCCATATAGTCCATTAAAATAGAGATTTCACTGCACCTATGTGTAAGAAAATCAATGCACTGTGTTGAGCTGCGACCACTGACCCGCCGCATCAACACACAACAACAGAAACGCTCATGACTCTGGCACACGAACAAGCTGTGAGTGGCAGGCAACACGTATCCTTAGGGAGAAGTAAATAACAAGATACTCATAACGTTCTTTAGTTACCGAGTTTAAAATTTTGTGGTACAGTAGGTGTTGGATGTGAGGATTATTACGGTAAACCAAGTGTACGAGTCTCAGCCTAGTGCACGAGTATATACCATTTAAGGTGACCGAGTCTCAGCCTAGTGCACGAGTATATACCATTTAAGGTGACCGAGTCTCAGCCTAAGTCCAAGCGGGCTATAACTCTGCACACTAAGGACGGGAAGGGCATAATTATCATCTTGATGTTTGTTTATGATGTATAGTTCAGTGTCTGTATATCACATTTAGTTTTAAAACTATGGCTGCATTTCTTCATACACGTCATCGTACTCACATTGTCAGATACATACACACGTATACAAAGAATATCTCACACACACATACACACACGCACAGTCACACACACACCTAAGGTTCACGGGTCAGAGAGTATAATGAACAAACAAGTCTGGTCACCACAAAGAATCTTCCTGGCAGTAGCTGTGAGTCGCGTACGTCACACTTAAGGCTGCCGTGGCCTTCCAAATGAGGGATAAAATGGTTCCCGGACCAGCCCCAGTGGCCAGAGGTGTCGCAGTGAAGGTGGTGAGGGGCTCTTCCGCTGCTCCCTCTACACGTGCAGGAGTGACAATCTACGTCTTATTTTTAGTGTGTGTGTGTGTGTGTGTGTGTGTGTGTGTGTGTGTGTGTGTGTGTGTGTGTGTGAAGCTTAAGTTTGGTAAAGTGAACCAGTGAGTGAGTGAAGTGTGATGTCGCGTGGTGTAGCATGAATGAGAGAGAGGGTATGTTGAAGCAATTCATCCTAAGTGGTGTGCATTACTGTGGACACTTCTTTTGCCTTGACACACTCGCCACGGTGCTGCAAACAGTTCCCTTGCCTTGGTTTGACCTCGAGGATACCTGTCCTATCAGCCCCCCCTCCCCCCCCAAGAAAGCTGAAAGACACCCTTACCTTAATAAGCTCCTTGAGACGCTCCCGGTTGTAGGTGTTACCGATCTCCTCCCCCAACAAGTAGTCCAGTATCTGTATCACAAAATAAAAAACACGTCACTATCATCCACATAAATTCAATTACAATATACACCCCCCATGTGCAATACCCAAAGTAGTCTGTTTACATCGAGACTCAAGAGAAACAAGTATGGGTACTGTACCTTGGAGATGGGGTAAGCTGCTGGCCCAGTGAGGACCATGAACACTCGCACCAGCCACACAGTCCTCGCCCCGATAGCCAGCCCGTGACGCGAGCAGATGGCTGTAGTGACAACAAACACACATTACAAACTAAAGCCAAAAATCAAGACTACTTCCCAATTACTGCAAGTTATATTATATTTAAGTTAATTTTATTTGTATCTGCATGAATATTTTTTTTTTCTTTTTAATGATACGATGATGTTATTAATTTCTTGTACTATGCACCTCAGTTGAAGGAATAGTGATGTTTGTTTTTTGGGCCACATCAAGAGTTCAAAGTTGACACGACACTATTTTTGGAACATGATAAGTGTGTGTGCGCTTGTGTGTATGTGTATGTGTGTGTGCAAGTTGGCGTGGCAATGATTTTAACGCCCATAACACACTATAAGCAAGATATAAAAAAAAAGTTTACCTTGAGGAATGATCTCTCCGAAGATGACGATGCCGATGGTTGAACCGAGGACGGCGATGAGTCCTGTGGAGAGGTTGTCGAGGAGGATGGTGAGGGTGGAGTTGACGAGCACGTTACCGAGCAGCAGCGTGCACAGCAAGAAGTTACCATGACGCCTCACGGGCTCGATGGCTCGCGCGTACCGACGTTCATTGGGCGATCCCGTGTTTGATACTATTTTGAGCTCCGTCTTGTCCAGCGACATGAGGCCCAGGTTGAGGCCAGAGAACAAGCCCGACATGATGAGCAGCACCAACAGGATACACCCCTGACCACCAGTAAGCAACAACACTGTTAGCCTAGCAAACACACTTCGTTTATTACAGTTAAAACGTATACAATATACCTAACCTTTCTTAACAACTCTGAAACAAGTGAAATAATAATCGCCCACCTTTACCACAACTACCTCAGTTACAAGTCACTTTTTAAACCTCTCTTATTTACTTTCCTAAAACTCAAACCAGTCGCCCAATACAGCAAGTCAATTAATATTAAAGAAAACTTAATTGTGAGAAGTAATGTACCAGGCTCTGGAAGACTGTGTGAAGGAGCCATGAACAACATGATTGGCTGCATCACGCTAACATACTTGAGACTGCCTGGGTTTATTAACTGATCCAAGAGTCAAACCTTCACCTAGAAATGCTTATTGAAACGGACTGTTCTTCAAATAAAGATCAATAATATAACAATTTCTAGCACAAAATAACAAATAAAGCCAAGATAACTGTAGGACGCTGCTGGGGTAAAGGGAAGACGAGTTTATTCACAGATACTGAGTATTTGCAAGTCGGCTCCTCACCCACATTTGGTCAAGAATTTCCGGTTACTATGATGGAAGACAGTGAGTCAGGAAGAACCTTACCTGTACCCAGAGTGGCAGGAGGAGGCTGTAGGAGGTCATGGTGAGCCATGGATCATTGCCCTGGTGGTAGGCCTGGTCCTGGGGACTGTCCCTCACACACAGGTACCACCGCTTCTGCTCGGCGCTCATAGGAGGCAGCATGATAGTGGTCACCGCCCACCCGTCACCCAGATCCATTAACTGTCACCAGGGAGAGACACAGACATTTAATGGACCAGGTAACATTTAAATGAGTTGTCACTAGGGAGACAAAAGATATCTTACAGACTGAAACAAATTAAATGACTTGTCACTAGAGAGACGCGTGATAAAGGGAGAGAAGGCCTTTAATGAACTGTGCAACGGATACTGGTGAAATATTTAAGCCATTTATCTTGTTATCCAATTCAAGCCTCAATTATAAAATTATAAAATAAATAAAAACAGTCAAGAAACAATTCGTGCAACACAGCCTGGCTTACCAATAGCTTTTATGTAATTGCCATCCACGACACAAATCCCTGGGCTCAAGTCACACTGTGCTTATAAAATACTTGTATGGACACTTTTAACACAAAAATCCTACCAAATAGTCAAAATACGAGTATACAAAAAAGACTGATGTGAAAGGTTATGAAAATAAAATGATTACGTGTACAAAAGGTTAGAAAATACTAAACCGTCTGTGATGCGGGCAAACGGACGCTCCACTGTTCAGAAGCACATTGTAACTTGTTCGCTCTATCACACATCAATCACCGCCCGCATAACCTGCTTTCCTTTACCTAACAATGAATTATTAGCTGTGTCATAAAATTTCAGGGTAGGTAAAAAAATTCTAAACACCGGAAACTGTTGAATAAATAAATTCTGCATTGAAATGAAAGCGACAACTACGGCTTCCCGCCAAACAATGACCACCGAAACTGACTCTACAAATCCATAAAAATCAATCCACGAGCTCACAGACATCAAATTAATAATTCTAAGCATCATCATAAATATATAGCGTAGAATCCTGCCAACTATGTAACACGATAGAACAGGCTTTGTGCGAAATTGAGATATATATATATATATATATATATATATATATATATATATATATATATAAAACTTCAGCAATGGACTTGTTACGTGAAGCGTTTGGTTCTATTATTCATACAACTAGTTCAGCACCAAACAAAACCTTTCTAAGGAAGAAATTTTCTCACATAAAAGCTTAGCATCAACGACAATATTATCATCACTAAACCGAATAAAGAGGGTAATGAGGTTGTTATACTCAATAAAACATCCTACGTTGAAAATGATGAATATACTTAACATTCCGAACTAAATTTGCTTCATCTAGACGATTTATTCAGGGTAATTCTTAAGTATGAAGACAAGATTAACAGATTTCTTCGTAAACTTGAAAAAATAGTAATAAATTAATGGCTCCGCCTTTTAAAACTCTTTGTTAGAGGACCTAAACCAGGTATCTGTACGGTCTACCAAAAGGTACACAAGGATGAGTGTCCTTACGCCCTATATTGTCTGGCACCTTCAACTATAATCTGTCTAAAATTCCTCGTTCCCATACTGTCAGCAATCACCATTAATAAATACTCTGTTAAAGACTCTTTTTAGTTTTGTTAAGGGGCTAACTAGCATCTTCATTCAACTTAACTGTGTTATGGCTAACTTTGATATGCAGTCTCTATTTACCAACATCCCTCTTGCAGGAAACTATTTGACATATGTACAGATGAACTGTTCTCAAATGCTGATATAATTGATAAGTTCAATGGACCACAAATTAAGAATTTTTAAAACTGGCTTATAAATGATTGTTTTGTTTTTATTTAATAACAAAGCTTTATAAACAATGTGATGGTGTTGCTATGGGTTCACCTTTTAGGTCCCACGTTGGCCAACGCTTTCCTCTGTCTACGAGCTTTTAGTAACCGGAATACTCCCCAATTTAAGCCTTTGTTCTATCGTCGGTATGTTGATGACACTTTTTAATTTTCAGATCATGATCACGTCAATGTTCCTAAATTGTTTTAAATTCGAAACATGGCAACATCAAATTTACTTGTGAATTGGAAAAAGAAAACTCTTTTCCATGGCTTGATGTTAATATCCACCGTCTTCATAATAGTTTCGAGACAGCCTTATACAGAAAACCAACTTTCACTGGTTTGAGTTCAAAATTTTCATCTTTTATTCCTCTTAATTACAAACGTAATCTAGTACGTACTCTTACCAACAGAGCCTTCAATATATGTTCTGTATTTCCACTTGGATATTGAACTAAAATACATAAAGAAGACTACTCTTTAACAATGGTTTCCTAAAGTTACAGACACTTATATTGGCAAAAAACCCTTATGGGTTTTTTAGTCCCCCACAGCCTCAAACCCCACCTGTCCTAAAATATTCTATCTATTTCACCATCCGTGCACAAACCCCTCAGTTTCACCCTTAGAAATAAGCAGAAGCTTTTCAATGAATTCTATCCACAAATTTCTCTTAGACTAATCTTTAAACCAGAGTTCAATTAGAAATTCTTTAAAATTAAAAGACACCATACCCACACCTGCAATCCTCAGTTGTTTATCAATTTACGTGTGCTAGCTGTAGAGGCAGCATATATAGGTAAACTGAGACATTTGATAACTCGCATCCATGAACACTTGGGCCGTTCCGTTCAGACAGGCCATTTAATCCACACAACCACCACATTCAGCTATTCGTAACCACGCCACCAACATGACCACCCGTTTTCGCCGTCCTGATTTCTGAGTTCTTGGCAAGGCGGCTGTGATACAGACCTCCCTCATTATGGAGGCAGTACACCAGTATAAGAAAAAGCCATCTCTTTGTGATATGGCCTCTTGTGAATTGTTATGTTTTTCACATTAAGGCTCGTCTGAATTAGTGAATACCCCCCTGTACATTTTATTTCATACTTTTTATTTCCTGACTTTAGCTTTGTACGTAGGTCTCTAGTCATTTGTCGGTTTTGAATTGGATTGCTCTTTTTTAAATTTTTGGGATTTATCGAAGGTAAATTTTCGTATAATATTATGTTTTTATTGTATATCACCTGTATTTTTAACTTTTCAAAAACTTTTTAGGCTCTGATGGAAAGGATTATTTCCGAAACGTTAGCAATCAAAAGAAAGCCCTACTTCAAGACGTTTGTGTTTACCTGGTTCTCCTCTTCGTTATATATATATATATATATATATATATATATATATACTATATATATATATATATATATATATATATATCTCATTTATAAGAACATAGAACATAAAAAGGGATACTGCAGGAGGCCGACTAGCCCATACAGGCAGATCCCTTTCACACCCATCCCAGCACTTCCATGTGCCTATCCAACTTCGTCTTGAAGCCCCTAGTCCCTTGATCCTACTATAGCACTCGGTAGCCTATTCCACATATCCACAACTCTATTAAACAACAGTGCTTGCCTATATCCTTTCTGAATCGGAATTTATCTAATTCTAGCCATTTGTTCTAGACTGTTATTACTTGAGCTTCCAGAACATCTTCCATTTTACCCTTGTTAATCCCACTTACCCACTTATGTACACCCCTCATCATATCTCCCCTAACTCTACGCCTCTCTAATGAATGTAAGGCCTAAGCTTTTCAGCTTTTCTTCATATGGAAGGTTTCATATTCATGGAATCCACAATGAAAACGTGGATAAGATAAATCTTGATAAAATCACACGGGAATCAAACAACATATATAATATCAGAACTGCATCTTAAAAGCAATGCCTGTCTGTTCAAGGAAAATAATCACCTCATTGCTTGGGAAAAAAGCTTGAAGTATTCAAATCATCTTGTGTCACAGAAAGACTTCTGTTGAAAGCTAGTTTGATTAAGGAATTAAAATCAATAAACCTTATGATGGTCAGTCTCAAACTGATAATATGTTACAAATTTATTTGTCAGTGGCCCAAGGTTAAAATGCTTTTAAAACCTTGATCTAGATGTTATAGTTATTTTAGGGTCCTTTTTCTGACCCCACCGAAGCTAGTCAAGTCACCACCCTCTCTTAAGCCTCTCACGTTTGTGTTGGTGTGGGGATAAGTGGATGTCATCATTATGACCTGACCTCATGCCAGGTCACCCTGCATATTTAAGCCTCTCTGTCCATAATCCAGAAGCCTCTGAAGATGCCTTGAAAAAGACGAAAGCTATACCCCGTTGTTTCCATTTCCCTGTGTGATATATATATATATATATATATATATATATATATATATATATATATATATATATATATATATATATATATATATATATATATATATAACCACTGTATGTGTGATCATATGTTAATAACCACAAGGAAACAAAAACATTAAGTTCCCTTATGACCCAAACATTGTGGACACCTGGGGCGCCGATGGCAGAACAGTACCGTTCTTGCCTCAAAGCAGATGTCACCGGTCCGAGGCCGGTGAAAGTTGTCGACAAACTTCCTAGTTCTCATCCGTTCACCTAGCAGTAAAGTAGGTGCCTGTTGTAAATCGAAAGTTGTGAATTTGTATTCAGGAAAGTTGTTGGAGCTTCCAAATAATTTGATGACATAAAACATTGACTCTTCAGGCTTCTACGCCCTTAACTCATGAGAGACTAAAGGCAAAAGCATGAATTTGCATCGTTAGCACTATAAATTCGCTTCTGTGCTTCACCTGCTGTCCCCTAGGGACTTGATCTCACTCTCCTCTACTGTATATATTAGCCTTAGTCTGTACTCACCCCTGAAGATGTGAATCACACAGGGAAATAATAATCATCCCACAGATTGGGAAAACAGTTTAGAAGTGTATAAATCATCATGTCACAGAAGACTTCTGGTTGAAGCAAGTTTGACTAGATGAATGAATTCTATAACCTAGAGAAGTCGACTTGTGAAAGAGACCTAGGGGTACTTGTAAGCCCGGACCTACGGCCTAGAAAACAGTGCGTTAATGTTCGAAATAAGGCAAACAGAGTATTGGGTTTCATATCTAGAAGTGTAAGTAACAAGAGTGCAGAGGTCTTATTGCAACTATATCTTGTGCTAGTCAGGCCGCACCTCGATTATGCGGTTCAGTTCTGGTGCCCTTATTATAGAATGGATATAAATTCACTAGAGTCGGTGAAGCGAAAAATGACAAAAATGATTCCGGGACTTAGAAACCTTCCATATCAGGATAGGTTAAAGAAACTTAACTTGCATTCCCTAGAAAGCCAAAGAGTGCGGGGAGATATGATAGAAGTTTTTAAGTGGGTGATAGGAATCAATAAAGGGGATATAGATAAAGTTCTTATAATATCCGAGCAGGATAGGACTTGGAGCAACGGATTTAAGTTGGATAAGTTTAGGTTTAGGTGGGAGATAGGAAGGAACTGGTTCACAAATAGGGTGGTGGACGAGTGGAACAAGCTTAGCAACTTTGTAGTAAGTGCTGGAACGCTGGAAAGTTTCAAAAGGAGGCTGGATAGATTCATGGATGATAGAGAGTGGTAGTAACTCTCGACAGGAGCTGCCTTGCACAGGCCAACCGGCCTATTGCAGACTCCTTATTTTCTTATGTTCTTATTTATTAGTGGTTTACTAAGGATTACGTTGATTCTTTAGTCTCTTGATATAATGTATCTGTTCATGATGGAGCCTATAGTACACGCATATTATGGTATTTTTTTTTATAATTTATTTATATTTTTTTGTAAAGTGTATAATTCCAAACCTTCACTCCTGAACTGTTGGAATAAAGAGGGCTGTTTGAACAGGAATAAAATGTGCTGGGTTGCCAATTTGTTTTTTTGTTTTTGTTGTGCCATATAAGAACATAAGAATGGAGGAAACTGCAGCGGGCCTATTGGCCCATACTGGCCAGTCCCGTTTACACCCAACCCCTATTGCTCATATAAGCATCCAACCTATGTTTGAAGCAGTTCAGCGTATTCGAGTTAATGATGATATTTGGTAACTTGTTCCATTCATCCACTACTCTGTTTCCAAACCAGTGTTTACCTATTTCACGCCTAAATCTAAATTTGTCTAATATAAAACCATTGTTACGAGTTCGCTCCTGGTTGGATAGTTTGAGTACCTTTGTAATGTCCCCTTTGTTTAGCCCTGCCTTCCACTTATACACCTCTATCAGGTCGCCCCTCGCTCTACGTCTCTCAAGGGAGTGCAAATTAAGATGCTTTAACCTGTCTCTATACTCAAGGTTCCTAATGCCCGGGATTAGTCTTCATTCTCCTCTGAATTCTTTCCAAGGATTCTATATCCATTCTGTAATACGGTGACCAGAACTGAACTGCGTAATCCAGGTGTGGTCTCACAAGAGCAAGATACAGTTTTAGGATGACCTCACTAGTCTTGTAACTAACACTCCTTTGTATGAACCCAAGTACTTTTTTAGCCTTGTTACGAGCAAAAACACATTGTTTACTCGGCTTAAGGTTCCTACTTATCATTACTCCTAAATCTCTCTCGCAGTCGGATTTCTCTATGGCATCGTTGTTCATCTGGTTTCCCTGTTTACATCTATACTGAGTACTTTACATTTGTCGACGTTGAATTTCATCTGCCATTTTTCAGACCATTCGAAAATTTTTTTTAGATCTTCCTGTAGTTTTGCCGAGTCCTCGTCAGATTTAATTACACGTCCTATTTTAGTGTCATCAGTAAATTTACTTATGTTGCTGTCTATGCCGATATCTATGTCGTTTATGTATATCAAATAATAATGGTCCAAGTACTGAGCCTTGGGGAACTCCACTTGTGACGTTGCTCCAATGGGACCTAGTGCCGTTAATGCTCACTCGCTGTTTACTGTCCTGTAACCACGCCCTAATCCATTTAAGGATGTCACCTTTGATGCCATGAGCTTCTACCTTTCTAATTAGTCTTTCGTGGGGAACTCTGTCGAACGCTTTGCTAAAGTCGAGATATACCACATCATAATTGTGCCCCTCGTCCACCTATTCGAAAACTGATGAAAAGAATGTTAATAGATTAGTTAGGCAAGAACGTCCGCTTGTGAAGCCATGCTGGGAATCATTGATCAATCGGTGCTTCTCCAGGTGATTTCGAATAGAGTTTGAAATGATTGCTTCCAGTAATTTGCCTACTATTGATGTTAGACTGATTGGACGGTAGTTAGAGGATAGTGATCTATCCCCCTTCTTGAAAATCGGTATTACATTCGCTATCCTCCAGGATTCTGGTACTACACCTGTTTTTAAGGACATGTTAAACAACTTTGCTAAGGGCATACTAAGCTCTTCCTTACATTCCTTTAATAATCTGGCAAATATCTCATCGGGACCAGGTGACTTATTAGGCTTTAGTTTGTCTATTTGCTTACTAACATCGTTACTAGTCACTACTATCTCACTTAATTTGTTTTCTTCACTATCTCTGAATAGGGTCGGTGCCTCGGGTATCATGTTTAAATTTTCGGTGGTGAAAACTGTTGAAAAATATTTATTCAAATTATTGCTCATTTCTCCGTCGTTATCAGTGAGCTCGCCGGAGTCTGACCGTATTGGTCCAATCTTTTCTCGTGTTTTAGTTTGATACATTTGGTAGAATCCTTTGGGGTTTGTCTTCGCCTCCTTGCTATCCTTACCTCATTATTCCTCTTTGCTTTCCTTATCTCGGTTTTAACCCTACTCGCCAATACCCTATAATAGTCCCGGAGGTGTATTTCGCCACGATTTATCCTTCTACCTATAGCCTTCCTTTGGCCAATGATGTTCTTTAAATAATTATTTATCCATTTAGGGTCATTGTTGTCTGATCTGAGTTTTTTGTATGGTATGTTCTGCCTTTGTGCATTAAGTAACTCACTATTTAAATTGTCGTAATTCAAGTTGATAAATTATGGCATAACACTATCCTAATTACCTTTTCAATTTCCCGCTGGCGTTACGTTTACTATTCGTTAGGTAACTGTAAAGTAGCTGCTTTTGCAGTCTACTGTCGTCAATGCGGGTAACTTGGCCAGTCCAGCGTAGCTGTTCATGGATAATGGTAGCCTCGATGCTCCTACAGTTGGTGTCGGCAAGTTTTACACTGAACGTAACTTGACGGATCGGCCATTTTAACTCGGCGTAACGTCCTAAAATAAAAAGTAAACATAATCTAGGAAGGATGTTCAAGAAATCTCTCGATTGTTATTTTAGGAGTAAAGAAATTTCAGGGAATGTAAATAGGGTCTAGGAATCTAAAATGATAGAACTTTTTGTAACAAACAGGGTGGCCTACCATACTACCGTTTCGGCTTATCGACGAGAAACCGCAGGACAAGCAAAGGGAACTAAACAGAAAAATTAAAAAAGCAAGGCAGTCTTTAACCCTTGTTTTCCAGGATCACTTGAATTACGTAGTTGTTTAGATAACTATAACATCATTTTAATCTCCAAAATATAAAAATTGTTAAAAGCCAGGAGCATATAAACACCTAAGGGTTAGGGTATTATATCAGAGATGGCAAGACACTTATGGAATCTGTGTGTGTGTGTGTGTGTGTGCGCGCGCAGTACGCCTTTTTAAGTATATAAAATCACTGAGTTGGAAAGATATGGATTTTGTTGTACAAGTTTAAGGTGAATGGTTGATAGATGATATACTGTACCACTACTACTGACAATGGGAATATGGTGGCTTGTTGGGCTCTACTATATTAGGTCAAGTCCACATACTGTATATCAATGTTTCTATACCCGTACTGTCTGTACACATATTTTGTATACCTGTACAGCCAAACCCGCTGACTCGGTGGGACACAGCCAAACACGCTAATTGACTTCGTGGGACACAGCCAAACACGCTAATTGACTTCGTGGGACACAGCCAAACACGCTAATTGACTCAGTGGGACACAGCCAAACACGCTAATTGACTCAGTGGGACTCAGCCAAACACGCTAATTGACTCAGTGGGACACAGCCAAACACGCTAATTGACTCCGTGGGACACAGCCAAACACGCTAATTGACTCCGTGGGATACAGCCAAACCCTCTCTCTCTCACACGGAATAGTGTTGTCTGTGATGCCGAAAGTTTAGCGAGCCAAGATAATGCATGTGGTTGAGCGAGATAAAGTACTGGACAGACAGTTTCCAGGTGTGACGTAGACTACACCTGGAGGGAAAGTACGAGCAGTACACAGAGAGGTATAGTTAGTTTACATGTGTAGTAAACCGTGAGGTCAATATACGGTAGAGGGGGTGGAAGACGTGATACTCACCGTGAAGGCCTTGGTAGTGTGGGCGCCGCAGGTGTTGCCCACTTCACCTTCGTAAGCGGTAAACAGGATTTCGGTGTTGTGGGTGAAGGCCTCGCCGAAGAACCTGACCGTGGCGTTTGTGTGGGCTAGAAGGCTGCCGGCCAACTCCTCATCATATTCGAGACCCTTGCTGTGAGATTCCACCCGGAGACCAGTCACCTTAACCATTCTACTGGCCACAGCTCCCGAAGGCGAGACAGTGTCGCCGCCAGGGAAGTCACTACTGTCAGGGGGTGATCCAGGACTTTCATCAATGTCTCTACCACTCCCGTTCACAACACCCGCGCTAGCCCCTCCCACTTCATTCTTCATGAGAGTCATCATGTCATCTGTTAACTCCAGTTCCTCCTTACCATTATCTACAAATTTGTCACTCGCCCTTACCCCTGCCCTGTCTGCACTAGTTCTTGCCTCATCTTTAAGCATTGCCTTATCACTGGCTTCCTCTGTATTAGTAGTTCTAGACCCATCACCACTTTCCACGGGGCTGGGCATATCCCCGAACATAACGTCAGCTGACATCTTTGACACCGTAGCAGTCTCCACTCCGTCACTCAACTCACTCACTCTCATTTTTGTGGTTTCCTCTACTTTAGTTTCCTCCAAATTACTGTCCAACATTTTTTTATCATTCAAACGTTCATCATTCTGGACGTTGGTTAGGGACTTCTCCGTGTCCCTCATCTTTGTGTCAGGAAGTGTGACGTTCTCCACAGCTCCGTTCACGTCGCTATCAGTGACAATGCCAGCAGCGGTGGTTATTTCCAGCTCCCCATCCTCTACCACCACCGTTGTCGTCACCAATCTGCTGCCCACATTCTCGTGTTTCCCAGCCTCCTGCGGCCCGTTACTAACAGCAAGAGAGGCTGTGTCAGAGGTGGGCACAGTGGTGGTTGGGGTGGGAGGAGAGGGTTCTACAGGGACCTCGGGAGGGGGCGGATGTTCAGCACTCCGCAGACTGCAACAAGAAGATAAAAAATATTAATTTCGTGTGCTTCCAATCATTGTAAGGAACTTAGTCCATATTTGTTTTAAATTTCTAAATTAACTGGTGGTAACCAGCCGCATCTGCATTTAAATCATTCCACAATCACACAACAGATTTTGAACTTCCACATAACCAAACAACTGTTTCTCCCTCAACCACTTCCTTAACTCAGTTCTCCCTCACCCACTACTGCAGTTCATCCCTCTCCACGGACGTATTAAATATACATAAAATTAACCCAACAATGACAACATAAAGAACCATGATTGACCCTAACTTACCATAAACACACACACATACTGTATATGCGAGTACTGTAGATGTTATTTTTTTTTTTGCGGAATCGGCTATTTTGCAAAATAACTTAAACAGACAACCTATACTATATATACATATATATATATATATATATATATATATATATATATATATATATATATATATATATATATATTTATATATTATATATATGCTGATAACCACAAGGAAAGAAGAAAACACGAAGTTCCCAAGCGCTTTCGTGTAATTCACATCTTCAGGGGTGAGTACAGACTAAAGAGAAGTACAAAACAAGGTGTATATATCCAGAGGAGGGTGAGACCAGGTCCACAATGGTCAGGTATTAGGTATTAAGACCCTACTAATCTTTAAATAGCACGGCAACGGTCGGTAGTCAGGTCAGAGGGTTAGGTGACCCAACCTTCTCACCTGGTTACAAATCTTCTTTATTACAAAATTGTCCAGTTTGTACATGCCATTACTCAAATTCATGTTGAAAGCTTCGGTAAGTTTAATGAGACTAGATTCTATGATGTTCCTACTATCAATTGAATTACAAGGTAATACTGAGGAGTCACCTTACCCTCTGAAAAGGGAAAAGGGAAACAACGGAGCACCTTAGCTTTCGTCTTTATTCAAGACATCTTCAGAGGCAACTGGATTACATGGACAGAGAGAGGCTTAAATATACAGGGTGACCTTAAAAACATGAGGTCAGGTCATAATGATGTCATCCACTAATCCCCACACCAACACACACGTAGAGGAGCTTAAGAGAAGGGGGGTGACGTGACTAGTCAGGTCAAAAATAAGGGACCCACTAAATAACTATCATACATCTAGATCAAAGGTTTTCAAAGCATTTTTAACCTTGGGCCACTGACAAATAAATTTATGTAACATATCAGTTTTGAACTGACCATCACTAAGGTTTATTGATTTTAATTCCTTAATCAAACTAGCTTCAACCAGAAGTCTTTCTGTGACACAAGATGATTTAAATACTTCTAAGCTTTTTTCCCAAGCAATGGGATGATTATTATTCCTTTTCCCGTGTGTATATATTATATATATATATATATATATATATATATATATATATATATATATATATATATATATATATATATATATATATATATATATATATATACACACACACACACACACACACACATATATATATTATATATATATATATACACACACACATATATATATTATATATATATATACACACACATATATATATTATATATATATACAGCAGAAATATGGCATGGTGATGTGTGTGTGCAACTGTGCATGCACCCAGAAGTATCACAGAGGTGGAATATTTTAGGGCTGGCCCCAGTGGTCGGCCCCCACCCATAAAGGTGATCGTATATATTTTCTACTTTACAAACGGATATACTCTTGTCAGGATTACAGGAGTTCGGCAACAAGCAAAGCCATCCAAGGGCTCTAGGATATATTACCTTGTGGCAGAGCTGATGAAGTTATTGCACAAAGTAATAAGTATAAAAGACGGATGGACCCCCACCCCACTCCCCGTTGGTGGCACAAGGAAATTTAGTCAGTCCCGGTAAGTCATCAAGGGAGGGGAAGGTATCTGATGGGCAAGAGGTCGGGTGTGAGGGGGCGTCACACTGGCCAAGTTGAGAACACATACATACAGATGTCAAACAGGCGAGGATTCGACATTGAAGGAGACCCAGGAGGAGGAGGAGGATGATGACGCGAGGTATCGACACTGAAGGAGGTGCAGAAGATGGGGTTAGAGCAGGAGGAGTCGCACAAAGAGGCGTGCGTTCAATACTGTAGGAGACGCAGAAGAACGGAGCAGGTTGCCTGCCCGCCACCCACGGGAGGGTGGGAGGGGAAGGAACACGAACGCGAGAACTCCATGTAGGGAAGCCGCACAACGGCTAATGCAGCACGCGCTCACACACACACACACGTGAAGGCTTTTGTTAAACCACCAATGTATGTAATAAGTCATTTATGTCCAATGTATATTTTCAGCCTTCGGGCTGCAGAACTTTTTCAATAAACCGTCAATTATTATTATTATTATTATTATTACGTATAATTACACACCTGTCACTGGTGAGAAACCTAGAATCCAAATTACAGCAATAGCAAATACGTACAAAAAACATATTTACCTCGTGTAACCACACATTTGCAATCTTGCTTCAATACGTTTGCGTCAGCACATGCTTACAATAGCACAAATCAACTCTTGCAATAATACATATGCATACAAGTCAACAACTCACTTGGTAAAATAAAACATGCAATAACACACACCTGTAATATTACGCTCCTTATAATCCAGACAACACTCTGAAACACTTATAAATTAACCAAGTTATTAATCACAACTCAAGAACGGTTTGTCATATTCGAAAGAAAAACTGACCTGACCACAACCTCCACACGCTGGAGCTGTACCCCCCCCACCACCACCACCAAAACTCAAAGTATACGTCGGAGTCGACTGATCTGAAATCCAATTTTTCAAAAGGCCGAAGTAAAATAAAATGAATGAAGGCGGGGCTGGGCGTATTGAACACCGGTGCTGGCCTCCCAACTTTCAAATTAACTAACGCACAACTTAATATTTTGACGATAAAGTGTTTATTGTTAGCAAGAAGAAAACAAATACAAAAAAACACGAGAAAAACTGTCTCCTTCATAAGAACATAAGAACATAAGAATGGAGGAAACTGCAGCGGGCCTATTGGCCCATACTGGGCAGTCCCGTTTACACCCAACCCCTATTGCTCATATGAGCATCCAACCTATGTTTGAAGCAATTCAGCGTATTCGAGTTAATGATGATATTTGGTAACTTGTTCCATTCATCCACTACTCTGTTTCCAAACCAGTGTTTACCTATTTCACGCCTAAATCTAAATTTGTCTAATTTAAAACCATTGTTACGAGTTCGCTCCTGGTTGGATAATTTGAGTACCTTTGTAATGTCCCCTTTGTTTAGCCCTGCCTTCCACTTATACACCTCTATCAGGTCGCCCCTCACTCTACGTCTCTCGAGGGAGTGCAAATTAAGATGCTTTAACCTGTCTCTATACTCAAGGTTCCTAATGCCCGGGATTAGTCTTGTCATTCTCCTCTGAATTCTTTCCAAGGATTCTATATCCATTCTGTAATACGGTGACCAGAACTGAACTGCGTAATCCAGGTGTGGTCTCACAAGAGCAAGATACAGTTTTAGGATGACCTCGCTAGTCTTGTAACTAACACTCCTTTGTATGAACCCAAGTACTTTATTAGCCTTGTTGCGAGCAAAAACACATTGTTTACTTGGCTTAAGGTTCCTACTTATCATTACTCCTAATCTCTCTCGCAGTCGGATTTCTCTATGGCATCGTTGTTCATCTGGTATCTGGTTTCCCTGTTTACATCTCCTATACTGAGTACTTTACATTTGTCGACATTGAATTTCATCTGCCATTTTTCAGACCATTGGAAAAATTTGTTTAGATCTTCCTGTAGTTTTGCCGAGTCCTCGTCAGATTTGATAACACGTCCTATTTTAGTGTCATCAGCAAATTTACTTATGTTGCTGTCTATGCCGATATCTATGTCGTTTATGTATATAATAAACAATAATGGTCCAAGTACTGAGCCTTGGGAACACCAATACAATTTGGATTTACTTTCAATATTGCTCAACAAAAATACTTTCATGTTGCCTTCATACACTTGACACTAATTACCGTAAAGGAGGAGTCATATTTAAAGGTTAATTTAACCTTTCAAAATAAAGGTGCAAGCAGCAATAAGAGGTAATAACCAAAATAGGTACTGATCAAGCAGTAACTATAAATAATGCAGGAGTGTACAACTGTACATAATATATAACGCCCAGGGTCCAGACTCGCTTGATTTGATTTCCTGACCGTCGACATCAAAGGTCATTACGGCCGTAGCACTTGTTTATTCCTCTTCTCTTGTTTTTCTTGTGATTGGGGGCCTCTATACATTGTCTTCTTGGTCTCCTTGTACTATCTTTTCTCAGTATTCTTCTTTTCCTTCGTCTTCTTGCAGTCTCCAAGTTGCACATTTCTTCTGATTCGTCGTACACGTGGTGTGGTGGTGCCCGGTTGTCCCGCACGTGACACAAACCTCCCGAGCCCGGCACCTCTTATTTGGCTGGCAATAGCGCTGACATCTGTAGCACCTGGTGGGTCTTGAGATGTAGGGCTTTACTGGGACGGAGTCCCACCCCAATAAATCCTCGTTGAGGAAACCGACCACGGCGGAGGTGGCTCCCCCGTCGGGTCTTGGAAGTTACTTCTGAACGACGATGTTCCCGACCAGTTGTTCAATTTCTTTGTTCTTTATATATTCTAATTCGGTGTGAGAGATGACCCGCCACACCGCGTTGTCCCAGATGTCGATGCGCAGCTTAACTGGCACGTCGTTGATGGTCTGGACTTTCAACTGGGCCGGCTGTCCCCAGTCCGAGAAGGTAAACACAAGGCCACTGTCATGATAATGACGGCTAACCTGTTAAACTAATGATCCATATTACGCTTACACGTCCGTAAAGCCTTCTGAGTCTCCCAGTGGAAATGTCCCGTTCTCTGTTTCCTTGATGACGTCATCGAGATGTATGTTTGTTGACCGAGTTGTAAACTCTTTCTGCTACCGAGACCCTG